AAATTTGTACAGTACTTACAAAGCGCTCTGACCGAAAGTACTCAAAACACGACGACATCCCTTCAGTTTAAGCAGCGGTTCTTATTCGCATCACTTGTTATCCTCCCTGGTTAAGTGGTTTATCAGGAATAAAGATGCAGCGAGAGATGCGTTTGAGCTGGATCACTTCGACTCGGAGGTTCATTAGCAAAACTCTACCGTTTAAACTTACGAGTACCCTCTACAAAATCGCAAAAAAAGATTTTGCTTTGGGCTTTGAGGAACAATGTCAGTATTACATCGGGTACACGCGAAGAGATGCATTTACACTGCTCGCGGAATCGGATCCCATCGCACCATCACGTCTTTCGGGAGCCTCCTTTCTCAAACAGGATTCATGTATCAGTTAGTTGTGTATCAGTTGACGGGAAATGTAGGTCAAAATACAGTGGAGAGACAATCAAGTGGTCCCGACAAATTCCTTTTCAAGTCTGTGCTTCCCATTCGAAATTACGAACTGATTACCTGAGGGGACGTCGAACGCAGGCGCATCCTACGGGCTCCAGAGACAGATTGTAAAAATCACCTCCGAGAATGGTCCCTTCAATGTGGAAGGCGAGTGGATTCGCAGCTGTAGTAGCGTGCCACTTTGTTCGCTCAAAAGTGCACGGGAACGGGGCTGTAGGGTAGTGGTACGTGAGTGCCGTTCCTATACTCCGCCCGCGCTATTTTCAAGGTGCAGTACTTGCCTTGATACCAAGGTTCCGCAACGAAACACGTACCCGGCGATAGAGAACAACCGAAAAATAGAGAGCGCAGAGAAGTAGAGCGTTTGGCTACGGTGATGCGCGCGGCTGCACGGACAGGAGTATGAAATCGGCACCAGCTCAGGTATCACTATCCTCCGGCCCGTGCCCTACACATTCGACAGGCCGGCAGACAAACGTGACACGCTAGTGCAACAGCGAATCCATTCTCCCCACACACGGCAAGGACCAGAATCCACTGAGGTGGATGTACAGTTTGTCTTCAAATCTCATAGTCATCGCCCCTTACTAGGGAGGTCGTTCAGGACGTGGAGCGCTTTTTGAAAACGGTTTTTTGCATGATGTGGGGTCACGTGCATGGAGTACCAAACTGGTGTTCATTTTTCCTGAACGCCTCTGGGAATGCCAAAAATGGAGTGAAAAAGAAGTCCATGGAAACCGACTGTTTTTGAGCCTGAATGGGCTCTAAATCACTCGCAACTTCGGCCAGTTGCTGCCTATAGGGTCCTTATAAAGGTTGTACTGGTATCGATGAGAAAAGTAGTCGCCAATGGGGTCTTACTTGTGGCACGTAGTTAAGAGTCGACGGCTAGTTGGAATGGGCTCTTAAGCAATCGAAGTGGTAGCTGCGCCAACGATCGGATGGCCTAGTGGATAGCGTGGAGGATTCTCAAGCAGACGGTGGGGATGGGGGATGATGGTTCGACTCCCCTCGGCTTGCACGTTTTTGCATTTTTTATTTTCCGTTGTTGTCGCTTCCATATACGTCTGTTAATGAATTTTACTCGGATATCTGCCATTTATAGGCACATCCTAAATAGTTATACCCCGTAGTCGGTGCTATTCAGCAATTTCGATTTCACATACCATTAAGCAAGAACTTGTCTGAAAGTTGAGCTTTATATGTTATTCGGTGCCCTGATCACGACTATGGCATTTACTTTCAGCTCTAGTGCCATTTATCTCCAATTTGGAGCCACGTCTTTCTCCCACTGGAGTCGCTATGTACATTCGTTTGAGGGACTTGCAGGGCCATTCTGACGCCAGATTGGGTTGACGTCAAGAATAAGTGTCAGAATCGTGATCAGGACCATCGATTACCCCTATAGGCAAACTTTCGGCCAAAAAATTTTTTTTTTTTGAGTTGTGATAGACCGACCATTTGGTCGTCGGTGATGACCGGAGACCCACAACTTTGGAGCTGCGATGACGTAGCGATGACGTGGTGGGCCGCCGGGCAGCCGCATCGCGGATTTGGTGCTCATAAGGTCCATTCATACTTGGCATGGGCATGGGTGGCCGCAGAACAAGTGAAAAACCATCCTGGACATGTCGACCCCCGCGACGGCTCGCTCAACGAAGATGTCGTCCTCCCCTACCAAGAGGAGAGACTCATCCGATTTCTTCATCAAATGCACCTGGAGGAATGATGACTATTTTGTTCTTTTTTTCGATGGCGTTTATGGTTGTTGCTAGTTTTTTGTTTCCGTACCACTGAATGAGGGTTTCGATAACCAGCAAAAGTACGACTTCAACAAAGTGACTCTTGAGCATAACCCAATGCACAGACTCAAAAAAGTCAAAAAAAATTTTTGGCTGAAAGTTTGCCTATAGGGGTAATCGATGGTCCTGATCACGATTCTGACACTTATTCTTGACGTCAATCCAATCTGGCGTCAGAATGGCCCTGCAAGTCCCTCAAACGAATGTACATAGCGACTCCAGTGGGAGAAAGACGTGGCTCCAAATTGGAGATAAATGGCACTAGAGCTGAAAGTAAATGCCATAGTCGTGATCAGGGCACCGAAATAACATATAAAGCTCAACTTTCAGACAAGTTCTTGCTTAATGGTATGTGAAATCGAAATTGCTGAATAGCACCGACTACGGGGTATAACTATTTAGGATGTGCCTATAAATGGCAGATATCCGAGTAAAATTCATTAACAGACGTATATGGAAGCGACAACAACGGAAAATAAAAAATGCAAAAACGTGCAAGCCGAGGGGAGTCGAACCATCATCCCCCATCCCCACCGTCTGCTTGAGAATCCTCCACGCTATCCACTAGGCCATCCGATCGTTGGCGCAGCTACCACTTCGATTGCTTAAGAGCCCATTCCAACTAGCCGTCGACTCTTAACTACGTGCCACAAGTAAGACCCCATTGGCGACTACTTTTCTCATCGATACCAGTACCTTTATAAGGACCCTATAGGCAGCAACTGGCCGAAGTTGCGAGTGATTTAGAGCCCATTCAGGCTCAAAAACAGTCGGTTTCCATGGACTTCTTTTTCACTCCATTTTTGGCATTCCCAGAGGCGTTCAGGAAAAATGAACACCAGTTTGGTACTCCATGCACGTGACCCCACATCATGCAAAAAACCGTTTTCAAAAAGCGCTCCACGTCCTGAACGACCTCCCTAGTTAGGCACCTCACCTGCTTCCTCTTGCGAACAGTTGCGGTCGTACTCGCTCGACTCACACCTGTCTTCCCAGTTCTTCTGCTAGCTATGCTGTACGTGCTTCCTGCTTCCGAAAACAAATCTGCCGCCTAAACTTTCACAGTACCAGACAATGCGATCTTCATTCTCATGAGTTACCTCCAGATCTCCACCAGTCTCGATACCGTCCCTCACATTATTGATGCGCTCTTTTTTGATGCCACGGACAACTTCAAGCCTTTTTGCGTGACTGAAAATGAGAATGACGTAAGGAGAGCCGTTCTACCTATTCAATAATGGGCGTAGTTTGGCTGGTGAGGGACCGAACGACACTTGTACAGGCCACTTTGTGAAGAACAGTAAATTACTGTGACCAAACTCGAAGAATTTCCTAGCTTTACAAGAACTGACAGGACTGATCAAACGGGACTTGTCATAACCAGCAAAAAGAACTAGAAGTGCAAAATGCCCCTCCAAGCCGAAAAGCGCCCAATAATGTTCTGATTTACCTATGGAACTGTTCCGATCTGGCCGCAAATTCTTTAAGTATAGTTTGAGCACGATCGACGACAAGACTCTTGACCGAGGACATATCTAAGAAAATTGCGTTATCAGTCACAAAGGAAACCATTTTCTATACCGACTCAAATACAGACAAGATACCTTTGGAATGCTCTGCGACCTCAACGGCATTCATCCATTCACCCGCCTTCGTATGCGCTTCAATCAACGCTACCGGTGGAGCTCCCTATGAAAAAAACAGTCATCTGTAAGAAAAAAATACCCACTAACTCCATGAAAGCGGAAACATCAACAAAATCTGAGAAATTCTTTGAAGCTCTGAAAAAAAACATGCCGAAAAAAAAACTTTGAAAATGTCCACGTATGCATGAGTGCGAATGCTCAGTACATGTGTAAAAACAAGGCAACAGTCTAAAATACGGAAATAATTCAGTTGAAGGCAATGCCTAGGAACCTGTCCACAGCTAGGAAGGGAGGGCTGCAGGGCAAAAAAGACACTGTCCAAAATTTACGCTGCATAAGATGAAAAACTACGTGGAACCCGAAGTGAAATGTTTCTCACTAATGGGTGTCCCTAGCAGGTGCTAGCTCTGCCCCACTACTTTCACAGAGTGAACATATGACCATACAAGCTCGAGAAAGTCTACAGAGTTGACGCCAGCCGTCGGCAACCGCGGACTTTCAGAGATGAGTCTTTAGGAAGCTGCCGCTCCGGTGGAGAAAGACACAGCCGTCCGGCTCTTCAGATAATGACGCTGTGGCTCGACCCTAAAACTCAAGGTGATCATCAAGCGCACTGAATCCCATGCACTAGGTTATCGGATCCCGAAGATTCAAGGATTAGGACCAGTCTCCGATATGTAAGTGACAGAATCGTCTACTCACTCTGCGCTTCAGTGCGAAAATTGTTTCAGAGGTGCGCTCCCAGCATTTTCTACAGAAAAAGTTGAAGTGAAGTATATAGTATGAAAACATGTGTGCAGTA